GTCTCTGACCAAACAGTCAGTGGAACTTTTCTTGACTACGCTAATTTCAGCATTTGAAACAGTGTAACCAAGAACCCCAGGCAGGAAGGGCTGTGGTTCTCTGTGTTGCCATGTTCTCTTGACAGCTAAACCTTTGTGGGATGATGCCTCCAAACTCCTTGTTAGTGCTTGAGAATTGGAGGCAAGAGTTCTTTTTGCATTGGCTTTTCATGGCAATAGATTAATCTACACACAACTCTTGCTTAATGTTTTATTCTATAAAGACAGTAACGTTATATATACACTGATGTAATGTTTACAAAGCATTTTTTCTAAACATTAGCTTATTGAACGCGTTAATAGTTATTACTCTCTCATCGTTGGTGGATGAGGAAGTAGAACCTCCTCCACATTTAGGCCTTCTGACAGCAGAGCCAGGCCTGTGCTTTTTCTTCCATCCACACACCCACTCCACGTCAGTGCGGCTGAATGTATTTGGCAGGCTTATCTTCAGGAAAGTGGTGCATCTCTTTGGAAATAGATTTTCCTCAGCTATTTAGCATCCCTTTTGTTCCTTTCTCCTGCTCTCCTTCAGTACTGTTGACCTTTGTTTTTTTTCAAGATCCTCAAGATCCTTCCTTTTTTTCATTTGGCTACCCTTCTCCCCTATGCATACCTCCTTTCCTTCAGTCTTCATTTCACCCAGATGTCTTTTGCCATTAATGCAATGGGACTTGCTTTTCCTGTAAGATCCATCACCAAATTGCCCTCTTCCCAGAAGTCTTGCCGCACCTGGTCATCTAATTCTGATCTTTCCAAATCTCCAGTAGCCTTTTGCACACAATTTTACAAGATCACATCTTAGGAACTAGGTAATAGTGCAGGGGAGGCTGTTGTATAATGGAAATGGTGGCACACTAAGCACACAAAGTCAGGATTTATAGTATCTTGTCCAGTGATAACAATAAATGGCATTGCCTTGGAACAGTTGTTTATGCTTTCCAAGACTATAGTACTGCAACTGTAAAATGAAAGAGGGTGGGGGCTGGGAGAAATCTAGTATGATCTCTGGGTCAGTGGTATTTCAAATTAAGTTTCAGGAACTTCTTTGATTCTGTGGTTGTTGAGGTGAAAAGGAGGCTTTCTCCCACCTTCTCCCAGAGTTGCCTTTTTTTCATCTTTTTGATGTACTGTGGTTTCAAATTCCATTGATTAATGGACTGGTGATTTTGATAAAAAGAATTCTCTATTAATAATTTGAAAACCGGGCCTCCCTGGTTGTGCAGGAGTTAAAGACAGCGCTATCAAGCTGTCACCAGCCACTGCAGCACAAGTTCGATCCCTGGCCAGCCAGGGAGCAACCCACAGGGCAAGGAAGACCTCTCCTGCCTTGCCCACTGCTCCCCTCAGCAGTATATTTCTGTAGATCTGCCTGTTCTGTTCCCCACTCTCTCTGGTGAATCCTCTACCCCCCCACACCTCTGGCTTATACCCCAGTTCTTGTATGCAGAAATAAATAAATCTTAAATAATTTGAAAACAACCAAATAAAATGATCTTTATGTCACTCACAGTTTTTTACCCACTCAAGAAGTATTTTTAATTTATCTTGGCTTTGTTCTTTACATGTTGCCTATGTATGTAGTCTCTCTAACTATCATGTGTAAACTTCATTGTCCCAGATATCTCAAATTGCTTAATAAGGATTATACAGAATAAAGATAATTCTAGTCTTTGCATCACGTGTCACCTGGATAGTATGAAGAACACATATTAAAATTACTTGATTACATACATTTATCTTGAATGAATTTAACTATAAACATCCTGCAAATAACTCAGTTGTAATGTGGCCTCTGACTACACTGAGCACTTTGAATGGTGTGAAGAAACTGCCATAGGGAGGAAAACCTCTTTGTGGAACTTATTCGTGGTGCAAGGTGATTTAAAAAGAAATTGTCACTCTGGGTTTTGCCTGAAATGTTAGATTTAGCACCTTACACCCAAATAAGATTTATCACCATATTCTATTTCATTTCACTGGAGTCTATAGATTTTTATTATAGGGTGATGATTCCATAATACTGTTTCATTCTTTTTAAAGCATCTTTGAAAGTCCTTTTGCAATAGGAATATAAAAGCAGTTAAAAAATACCTTCTTCAAGGAAGTTGTACAATAATAAAGTAAGTAAGTAAACTGATGTCATGTTAGCTATCCATGCAGAGCAGCTACTGCTTCTGAGAGGAGGATAGATTTTCTTGGTGCATCCTCTTGCTCATCCTCAAAGTAATCCATGGGTAAGGCTTTGTAATGCCAGAACATTTGTATAATAATTTGTCATTATTATATTTTTGTAGTGTGTCCATGAAGCCTTTAGCATCCATACAGAATAAGTGTATCCAACATAAATTCAACTAAGGAAGACACACCTAAAAAGACTGTATATATTGTGAATTGTAAGGTTCATAAGATATCTTGCTGAAAGAGATATTTTTTACATGCCAAAAATATAAATTGAAATTTATAAAACTAGATTGGAAAGACAGTTCTGTAGAGACATCTGGTTCCCTGTAGGTGGAATTTCAACTCCTAAAAACAAGCATATCAACTTAAATAGTGTGTTAACTGTAGAGAATTTAGCTTCTGAACCTGCTGGCTCAAGCTTTTTTTTGCTTGGTGTCATCATCAGGTAGATCCTTCTCATCATCTGATGGATAGGTCCCTGTAAACCAGCAGCTCCTCGCTTACTCCCTGTTCACAGAAGCAATAGATGTTCTTCCTAACGAGCGATTGAAAAGGTTCATATGCAGATTGGGGTCAAAATAAGGGGATTGCAATTGTATGGGGAATATAAAAATAAAATTAAAAAAAAAGAGAAGTAGAAAGTAACTATTTGATATGATTTGGTAGGTTATTTTTTTGGGGCCCGGGAATATTGTTACCATTCATTATATGGAAAATTTTTTGAGCATTTCTATACCCAAAAATAACCTACCAACCATTATACCAAATTGGAACATTCTACTTCCAGATAGCAGGGGAAACCTGTAAATGAACTTCAGAGCAGGGCTATTGGTGCTGATGAATACAGAAAATTATGTAAAAGTAAGATTTTAAACCTGGGTTTTTCCTAGAGCTTGTGGTTTCATTCAGTTTGTGATCTGTGCCTTCCTTTTGTGGCATTACTAGGCAAATAAAGAGAACTTCAAATAGATATTCAGCACTTTGTTTATTGATATACAGTTATCAACTAAAATGATTTTGCAGTGAAAGAAAAACGAGAAAGAATCTTGTTTTGATATCTTGATTTGTTTCAAAAGTACATCGAGGATGGGTAAAATTTCTGGGTTGACTTGATTGGAGGTTATGGGGCTGTCACAGGTCAGCCAGGGTGTTTTTTTTCCCCCGTGTGATGCTGATCTTTGGACATTTGCCTCAGTTCTTTGTGCTGAATCCTGCAGTTTCCTGGGTAAGGAGTTAACCTTTGTGTGCTCCTTGCACTTGGCAGAGTCCCATGCAGCTGCCTCCAGAAGTCCCTAGCCATTGCCTGCTTAGGAAAGAAAATGGAAGGTGGTAGGGAGAGGAAGTAAAAACATTTCACACTTTACCTACTCAAAGACAGATCTGTTATCCTCCCTTGACCACAAAAATTCACTGAGGAAGTTGGTGAGTCAGAGATGCACTAGGGTGGATGTCATTAGCATAGTTTAGTGAGCCTCTGGTATCTTTTTATTTTTCTGTTTTTATCGCTACTGCTTTTCTTCCAGGGTAAATTCACCAATGTGAAGAAACATAAGCAGTACCTTGAAACATTTCCTCAGGCCCACGGCCAGGATAATTGATAGATCACCCAGAGATCCACATAAAGGCAACCTGGTTCCTCTCAACCACTTCTGATTTTATTTTCAATGACTGACATCTTGAAAATATTTTCTGTTTCATTCTTGGGCTCTTGCAGATCTTTTCAGAAATGAGCACATTCAATCAAAAATTTTCCTTTCTGCATTAATTGGGGGGAGTCAGGTTTTATCTCCTTGGGGTTTAGCTACATTCTGAGGGGCTCTGTAGCATGTGGAGACTTCTAGGGCATGGTCAGTAGCTGTCTCTTCCTGTATAGCAGTGTCTTCCCAGATTTGCTTTTCTACTACTACTTTATCTTTTTCTCTCTAGCAATAAGGAGGTATGAGATGATGTCTGAGAAATTCTTGGTTCTCTTTGGAGAAAGGAATACTGTCTATTTATTTACTTTTGTCCCTGACTAATAGCCAGGGTAAGCCAATGGCTACGCCCGAAGTTGATCTAAGCTATCCAATCAAAATTGAAATACCAGTAGAGAATGAGGCCAAGAGTGTGTGGTTTAGACAACCTGGGGATGAATTTAGACCTCAACACTTAACTATTTGAACAGTGTCTTACTACAGATTCGTAGCTATAAAATAGAGATGATTTTAACATTGACTTCAGAGAGCTCTTGGTACCCTTAAATGAGATAATCCATCCAAATCACTTAGCACCTTGTGCTTGCCTCATAGTGACCATCTTATAAATGTTGTTATCTTGTTACAAGGGTTTTTACATCAAAAGAGGAGTTTGTCCCTTTTTTTAAGGACTGAAATTGTAGTAAACATGCAGAGAAGTCTAGGCATGGTATTACGACCAAACTTGTCTCAACTATCAACTTTATCAAATCTTGGCTCTTTAATAAATGTCTTTTACATTTTTTAAAAAGAAGTAGACCACTGAGATTGAAGTCTTCCCATGAAGAATGTATGGTAAGTAAAAGCAGAGGGCATATTGTTTAAAACCAAAGTGACTTAAGACACCCAAAAATGTCGCATGTGGACCCCGACCCCGAGTTTTGAACAAACCAGTTATAAGAGACCTTTTTGAGGCAACTGTGAAAATTTCAGTATGTAATGCTGATCAGATTATACTAAGGAATTATCAGTCATTTGTTAGGTATCATAATAAAAGGTATCATTATTTAAAGAAGTTGGGGATTTGTAAGAAAGCAGTTTTCCTACATTTTTTCTCCCCTTAATAAATTATCTTAGCAATTTCAACTAGATGTTGTTTCTCTCTTCTTCTCCTCTTCTCTCCCAAGTCTACTGAATTCAGAGGTCCCAGCTGGTGTCTGGGTTATCTCCACTCCAGCTCAGTCTGTGTCTCCAGCTGGAGTGAGTCTGCTCAGAACCTTTCCTCCAGGAACTCAAGTGCCTCCAGAGAGTCCTGGACATGTTTGAACAGAGTGATATATCTCTTGAGGACTAAGAATGCCACTGAAGGGCTGCCTTATCAAACCCTGTAGAAGAAAACAGATTGATAACTTTAGAAATATTTTACAGCTGCTTCCAACCAGTCTTAGGGAAGAGGAAAATTCAGGGACAGATTCTCAAAATTTGTCTTTAGGCTGATTATCTATATCCAGGACAAGGAGGGTACTTGTGTGAGAATTAAGGGAAACTGACCCCTCTGAGCCCCTCTGAGCCCAATCCCAGGAGAGATTCCCTAGAATTGACTCTGTGCACTCACTGTTGTAGGCACATGGGAGGCCAGGAGGTGTCTGGGAGTTAGTCATACAGGCATACACATCTGCCTTCTGAAACTCTGACCAGCAGCTAGAAAAGCTAGAGTAATGATTTTGGAAAGGAATGTCAGCTGGATGCATCACGTATTATTGTCACTTTCAAGCCAGGTTTATAGATATCTAATCACCACGCAGATAGAGAACATTTCCAAATCACTGAAATCTCTGTAGTGTACCCAGGCAGTAACTTACCGTTATCCTGACTTCCATCACCACTGATTGTTAAGTATCCATCATCCCCGTTGTTAAGTATCATGTAAATGGAATCATGTTGATGTGTGCTCTTTTTGTATATTTTTTTTTCCTTCCATTGTAATGTCAGTGAGATTTTTTCATGTTTGTTTATAGCCATTGTTCTTATTAATGTAAAACATTTCATTTTAGGGAATGTATCACAATTTCTTTCATTCTTTCCTTAATGAACATTGACTAGTTCCTAAATTTGAGCTACTGTGAATAACTTCTCTGGAAATATTCTTCTGTCTGTTGATGAGTACTCATTCTCTTGAGTATATCCCTAGGAGTAGGGTTGTTGGAGTGTAAGGTTGACCTATGTTTACCTATGTATGTGTTTCCAAATAGTCTTGCAAAGTGGTTGTTCCCATCTCCATTTCCACTACCAGTGTCTAAATGTCCCAGTTGTTCCACAGCCTCACCTGCACGGGGAATTGTTCAACTTTTTAATTGTCAACCTTCTGATGTGTGTATAGTGTCTCTTATTGGGTGTATATTTGCATTTTCTTAATAAATTATGTGGAAACCATTTAGATATTTTCTTTTGTGAAATGCCTGTATTAGCTTTGGGGCATTTTTTCTCATTGCAATTTTATCCTTTCTAAAAAGTCCAATATGAATGTCAAGAGTCATAATGAAGAGAAAAATATATGTAGAGGCAGTACCACCTAGTTAGTGATAAAAGGGTTGGGCATTGGTTTCTGACACCATGAATTCCAGTCCCAGTCTCATCACCTGCTGATTGGTATTTAAATAACTTTCTAGGGGCCTTCCCGGTGGCGCAGCGGTTGAGCGCTGGGTTGCGAAGCTGCCCGCGGCCTCTGCGGCGCCGGTTCGATCCCCGGCTGCTCCCCGGCCACCAGAGGAGGGTCCCACATGGCGCGCAGACCTCTCCTGCCGCCCGCTGCTCCCCTCAGCAGTGTACTTCGGTCCTTCTGCCTGCTCTGCTCCCCGCTCTGGCTCTGGTGAATTCTCTCACCCTCCCGCGCTTCTGACTGTACCCAGTGCATGTATAAACAAAAAAAAAACAAACAAACAAACCAGCAAACAAATAAATAAAGCATGCCTCTATAAAAAAATAAATAAATAAATAAATAACTTTCTAGTCTATATCCTCATTTTACTATGAGGATAACAACAGTACTGACTTCACTGCTGTGTTGGTGTGTTGGGGAGATTAAATGATACATGTATCACTTACAGTTCAGTGCCGGACATCTTGTAAGTGGTCAGTTAATATTATAAATGAAAGCCCTGCTGATGCTGTAGTGGTGAGGAGGAGGAAGAAAGAGTCTCCTTCTGGAGCTTGGGGCATTATAAGTATGTATCTTCAGTCATTCTTAGTACGAGGCGGGTGTTAGAGCAACTTCTTTCTCCAGCTCCATCTGTCTGACCCAAATCAAAGCTTCCTGCTCCCCATTCCGGCACCAGCCCATCCAACCTCTACCTGGGCTGACCCTGGACTGTCATCTTGGTTCACTGAATGTCCAGCTCTGGAATTTCTCATTCCAGCTCTGACCCAACTTTTTTATTTAAAAATTTCCTTTCATTTCAAGTAAGGAAAGTGATGTGGCTTTATCAAGCACACCTACTTTTTAGAGAACACCAAACTCTATAGGGTATCTAGGGAATCCTGTAATTGATTCCAGCTCTCAGGAAACTTATAGTCAAATATTAAAAAGAAGTAGCTCCCCCACATCATTTTAATTTTCATTATATGCCAGATACTTCTGTAAGTATATTCATATATTTGCATATTTAATTATTACACTATTCTATAGAGGCTTGTACTATTATCTCCATTATTAATACTGAGAAATATTACCCAAGGTAACATAACTGTAAGTGTCAGAGTGAACAGTTGAACTTAGATCTAAACATTCTCTTATTACTATTCTGCCTCTTCTAAAACATGTCTCCTTGAAGCAACTTGGGCTAAATTAACAAAGCATTATCAACCCCAAGTACAAAATGTAGTCTAAATGTTTTACTGGCCTTTCTTTAATTGAGCTTGCACCTTTCCTGACTCCTTGCTTCTAGAAGTGGTGAGGCTGTGAGCTACCTATGGCTAGATTTCCTAAATCTGTAAAGTCCGCTTTATTAGATAGAGTGCAAGTTAATGTTTGGAATGTCCTTGAAGAACTGTGCTAGCCCCTGATAATCATTATTATTATGAAGAGCAGGCTGGCTATTTTTCTGTAGGGCAGAATTATCTTCAATCAAGTGACCTTTCTACATACCTTTGCACTTAAAGAGACTATTTCTTCTTTCTTGCCTCCCCCTTCCTTCTCTGGGGTTACCAGCCAAAGTCACACTAGTGTGGCATTTGTCCTTGGTTGGGGAGAAGTACTTTATTCACTCATCGTACCACAGCACCCACAATGTGGCTCAGTGCTAGTTCAACATCTTCCTCCCAGCCCCTTCTTTTTAAACCTCGGATATTACTGACTAAGTGAATGGTTTTTGTTTTCCTGTTGTCTGTTGCAGTTAGGCATCTGCCTGCATTTTTTTCTGTAGCCTGTTGACAGAGAAAATGGTCTCTGGGAGACTTTCATTACATTAGCCCACTCAGAAGTCTTTTCAATTCATTTGACCTCTGGTTCCTTTTTTTGCTATTTTTGCATGAAGCTCTCCTGAATCGGTTCACCTTATGTTCCCTTTGAAGGTGAAAAAAATCCCTGTGACCAAATGTTTAGCAGCTGTTCAGACATGATGGATTGACAGCCCAATCTAAATCCATTTCCTGCCTTCTACATGCACCCCCAACCCCCAAGCCAAAGGTGGAAACCGAGCAAGTTACATAAGATGTTGGAGCAGTCCAGATGGCTGGCTGCTGGCCCAGGCAAACTCAGCATTAGAGCACTTGGGAATTGCCTGAACTGGCAATAAAATGCGGACTCGTTTTTAATGAGAACAGTCATTTCGTTCAGCTAGGTGAATCAGATAGTAGAGCTAAATCAATATTGTGATACCCCTAAATATGACTGCCAGTTTTGCTCTGGGGGTATCTATGGAAGGAGGGGGGGTCTCTCTCTATTGTTTAAACTTTAGTTAACAGGGAAGAATGGGCAGGACAGCAGGACTGGAGTCTCACCACCATTTGGCTGGGCAACGGCATGGAGTTGGGAAGCAAAAAAAGGAATCTGAAAAGGAACGGAAGCATCTCACCCCTAGAGTTTTGCAATTTCAGCCTTGCTACTCTGTTTCCCCAGTGCCTCAAAGTACCCTTCTGTTGTGTCCCTTTTTTCATGCAAGCCTTTGAAACATAGTTCCCTCAACTTTGAGGTACAGTGTGGCTAGTTAGCTCAACTGGTTCTAAGTCACTTGGTTTGTTGACCCTGCCATTTTTTTAGAGGCTAAGAAAATAGACCAGAGACTTCGGAGAAACCTTGAGACCTTTTGTTCAGGTAGCCAGAGGCTTACTGACATAGAGGTTATCTCTCTGGATCCAACTCTCTCTCTGTGCATTATTGTAATGTGACCCGGAAGCAGTTGTTCAAGGTACCTGCTCATCTGCGGTGCTCTGTCCAGATGACTTGAGAGCTTCCTCAGACTGCTGTGTCTCTCCAGAGAGATCTCTCATCATGGAACTGTCTTGTTGGCAGGTAGGGTGGAGCAGGGACAGGTTACCTGTTACTCAAGTTCATCTGAAACGGACACCATTGTGTTTGTCCTTGATATCTGAAACTGATCCTCCCTTGCTGCTCTATGGTGAATTAGTCTCAAAGATGCTAATCCTTTGTTTCTGTTGTTTTGAAAATGGTTAAATGTGGAAAATAGCCAAAGGCTTAAAGAAGAAAATGAATATCACTTAATTCACTCACAAAGAGCAGAATATCAAGATAATTTTTTTTTTCAAACTTTTTCTGTCACGGGGCATGTGTATGTATATATACATACATAGATAAACAAAAAAATGGGATTATTTTCTACATATTATAAGTATTTTCACTTAGGTACATTTTTCTGACGTGTATCAGTTTGCCATTAGTTTTGATGTTAACAACTGAAAATTCAATAGTGGGTTCAAGAAATATGGGGATATATGAAGACATAACCATTAGGAAATTGGGCTGGAAAGGGTGGCTCTGTGATGGCTTCAGGGATCCAGGTGCTTTTCTTCTTTCAGTCCTCCACCTTTAGGATGTAGGCTTTTATTATCCTCATCACCTCATGATTGCAAGATGGTGACTGTACCTCCTGGTCTCGTGTGTGTGTCTCAGGCAGGAAAAGGAAGGTGGAAGAAGAGAAAGGAATAGTGTGTGTGTCTGTGTGTCTCTGTGTCTCTGTGTGTGTGTGTATGTGTGTGTGTGTGTCAGAGACACAGAGGCTTCCCCCAAATCCCCAGCACATGTCTGCTTGGGTCTCATTGGCCGGACCGAGGTCACATTTCAGCCAAAGAGGAATGTAGTGTTTTTAGCTAGGTGACATTTTACTTCTGTGTAATCAGGAATCTGTGACTAAGGAAGAAAGGAAGAACAAACATTGTATTAGACAACTAGCAGTGTCCACCATGCCTTGTTCCTAAATATTATTCTACAACCAGAAGTCCTTAGGTAACTTAGAAACTCCTTTGATGATATTAAGAAAATTGTGCTTACTTTCCTCAGAGAAATTTATAAATACATAACATTTAACATTCAGGATCATGGGGTTTTATGTAATCACTGAAACTTTTTCATGGGCCACTATCCAGGATTCTTTCCTTAGCATAAATTCCATAAATGGAATTATTTGGTGAACACATATCCATTTTTGAAGCTTACTCTCCACAAAGACTGCCAATTTATACTTTGTCAAGTCCTATGTGAGAGGATCCGTTTCCCTGAGTCCACATCTATATTGGTGTCACCATTTTAAAAAGTACTTTACTTTTTTTTCAAAAGGAAAAAAATAATGTTATTGTTGTAATTTGAATTTCTTTGTTTTTGTTGAATTGGATTCTTTCTCGTATATATTGTATATTTATATTCTTTCACAGCTAGTTTATTCTTTGTTTATTTGTTTTTCTGTTCATATATTCACCTTTCTCTTACTGATTGTAAGAGCTCTTTATATATTAAGGAAACCTTATGTATTCATGTTTGCTTGAATGAGTTCCCATTCTAAGGTTTTACCTGACATTGGCATCAAAACATAGTAAGAAAAAAATACTAAGGAGTAGAGATCATTCTCCAAATGATTATTGTTATGCCAGCATCATTATTTCCAAGCTGATTTGAAATGCTTTGGTGTGATTTAAGAAGTACAGCAGTGATTTTTTTTTTTTTTTGAGCATACAGCAAATGTGAAGGTTAGCTGCCACTGATGAGATTGTATGAGCTTGCATGCTTTAAGAGACCCTGTTTTTTGCTCATAGCTGGATCATAGCTGACACACAGCTGGGATTGAAAAAATTTGAGGTCTGTGCCTTGTCTCAATCCTCACTGCTTAACCTTCTTGTGCGAGCAATTTAATACTTAAAATGCTGGTAGACAGATGGCAATTTGCTCTTCTCAGATTTGAAGGGCTCTCTGAGTCCTCAGTTCATTTTTAATTACATAACCCCTGGGTGATTGGCACTTTGAAAGTAAATGGAAACTGAGTCTAGAATGCCAGCACTTTAAATGTACTTGGTTCAGGATGTTTATTGAATGCCAACTGTGTACAAGGTCCTCTGGATCTACTGGGATAAAATCTGTCACTTTTCTATTATTGCAGCGTGAAAATGATGAATGTAAATGCTTTGAAAGAGAAGAAATGACTTTAGATGAAGGAAGTTGAAGGCAGCCTTAGAGAAGAAGCACATTTAAGTAAGGTTTTGAAGGAAATACATAGGAAGAGATGGATAGAAGGGCTTTGTTGGCAAGGATATGGGAATGAGGATTCTTAAACAGGAAGGCATGGGGCAGGTGTAGAAAATAGCTAGTTGTTGGGTGTATCTAGGGCATGAAGTTTGGGAGGAAAAAGTGGGAAGTAAGACAGGAAATGGGGCCAGCTTGTCAAAAGCCTCACATAGAAATGTACATATTATGCTGAAAGGGATGATGTGACCATAAAGGGTTTGGAGCTGACCTGATTTCAGAGCTGTGGTCTTGTGAAGGATGTATTGGCAAGAGGAGGACACAAGTGAAACAAGTTTGAAGGCATTTCAGGCAAGAGGTGCTGAACTCCCCAGTGGGAGTCCTGTTACTGAAAAGGAAGGAAAGGATATGATCAGCATTTTAAAAGCAAAATTGTTTTAAAAGCAAAACCAATTATTGTTACCTGATTAGACCTTGCTAGAAGTAAAAAGACAGGACCCTAAGATTTAAGGTCCAAGTTAGTGAAAATAAAGTGATGTCAGTACTCAAGGTAGCGATGATTAACTACTGTTTACAGAGCATTTACTGGGCCCCAGGCACTGTGGTGGCAACTGTCTTGTCCTTTGGTTGGAATGATCCTCTTTTTGTAGATGGAACATTGAGGAACACAGAGGTGTCACAATAGAAAGGACAAGAATTCCTATATGAAAATAGGATTCTGGATTTTTTTTCCCTATTAAATAGTCTTGTATGAACCCACTAAAATAAGTTCTAATTTAGTTGTTTGTTCACCACATTTAAGGTGTTACCTCCCATAGTCTCAAGAAATCCGTCCAGGTGTTGATAGGAAGAACTGATGCTAAGTTCGAGGTTCAGGGAATTTCCCAGATGGAGATGATCAGCAGAAAGTTGTAAATGGAAGTGTGCTCCTTAAGAAGGCTGGAGGAAGATTGGGGTTTCAGGTTTAGAGGTGGGGTGCTATCTTCCCAGAGGCATTGAAGCCATGGGTTTGGATGAAATTTCCAGGTGTTGTGTTTGGAAAGAGAGAGTATGATTAGTAAAGAGAGCCAAGGAAGGAGTGTTGGGAATTATTAAAGATAATCTGTGGAACTCTCAAAACATACTGCTGGTGGAAGTCTAAATTGGTAAATCCACTTCACTGTAACTTAATAACATTGAATATACATGTAACCTGAAACAGTCTTTGTTGCAACAATTCAACTCTGCTGTTACAGCACCAAAGCAGCTATGAGCAATATGTAAATGATTGCCCACAGCTGTTTCAAAGTATCTTTACTTACAAAACACAAGCAGGCTGGATTTTGTCCTCAGGCTATAATCTGTTGACTTTGCCCTAGAGAAACACACACATTTGTACAAAAGAAGACAGGTGAAAAATTGTCCACTGAAGTATGGTTTGTACTAATGAGGCTTTGGGAATGACCTATGTTGTTTATCGTTGCAGAAATGGAAAAACTGTGGCTTGTTCATTTAATGAAATATGTTAGCATGAATAAAATGAATAAATTTAATCTACATTTATCAATATACATACATATTTCTCACAGACATATTGGTAGATGAAAAAACAAGTTGCAAGATCAGATCCATATATGGGCATACTGCTACTGATGTGCATTTAAAAAAAATTTATGTTGTCTATTGCTATTTAAACATGTAGTAGAAATATTAAAACATGCATACAAATGACACATATACCATCTTTAGGGTGTGGGAAGAACTAGAGGGCAGAGGAACTGTGATATTCAGTTCTGAAGAGAGAGATTGCAATTTGAGATAAATTTAGAAAGCTAATATCTGTCGAATCTGTACTCTGGGTCACTGGTAAATTACTTTTTGTACTTTCCTTAGGCTCAGATACTTCATATACGTGTGTGGATATGCATAAACCTATATTCATGCAGGTGATTCTTATTCTTGATTCGTTGTTTGTAAATTCACTTATTTGCTAAATTTTTGTAACCCAAAAATCAATACTTGCAGTGCATAGAGTGAAAGAAAATTCTCATTGCCTAATGTGTACTTTCCCCATTGAGGACAAACAAGGTGGCACTCCTTGTGTCAGCCCTCGTATTGTAAATGTCTCCTTGTTATTTTTTTTGTTGGTGATTTCACTGTTTAAAATGGAGAAACATGGTAGGTGAGTGTCCTTCAGTTATCAGTTACAATGCTGTTAGCCATTAATTTAGTGTTGATGAGTCAATAGTATATATTTAATAAGGTGTGTTTAAACAGATACATACATAAAACAAGATTATGCATTGATCATTTGATGAAAATTTGACCCGAAGCATGTAGGCACCTAATCTAATATTTACCCTAGAAGCAGAGGTTCAATATTCACTAATTTGGTGTGTATGGTGTCTTTAAGAACCTAACTACCATGAGTAATGAGAGCCAACTATGTGTATGTAAATATATATACTTTGTCATTATTTTACATTTATGATCACTTTATATTCACTATATATTATATATTAATATATATATTCTCCTCTCTGCCAAATTAGAAAGATTTGTTCAAGGCACAGGAACTTGCAGGGTTGCCTGTGGAACAAGCCTCAGTAGGATTGTGGGTAAAGGACACAGGGTAATCAGCCACAGCAAGTGCTCTAGAAAAGGGCCCAGAAGCAACCTTTGGCTTTCTGTGTTTACCTGCCATGCCTTCAGATAAAGTCAGAAGGAAGACATGTCCTAATCTCTCCTATCCTCCACCACTCTCCATATGCAGATCTAAAGGGACTAGTCCTCCCAGTTGCCTTTGTCTGCTGGCTGTATTCCTAACTGAGCTTGGTGGCTCTGTGTATGTTGTGTTTGGCTTTTTTAGAGAAGAAACAAGAGAAGCTTGGGTTAGGCACTTTGTTAATATGAATACTAATAGCAACTCCTTTCTTCCTGGGGAGCCTTAAGCCACATTATCCCATAAACCAAGCTGGTCTTAGACCAGCCACCTTCCAAACTCTGTTTCCTTCTCCTTTCCAGTCTGTACTCCTTCCTCTAAATTTATAGTGCATCATTTTTAACTAGTTGTCAGAAAATCCCCAATTTAGCAGCTTGCTAATGAGATTAAAGGTACTATCCTTACAATAAGAAACCCTTAAACTGGATGGAATCTCTACTGCAAGAGCCTTTCAGGATCTACAAGGGTTCATTTTTGATGATGGAATATTAAAAATCTTAGGCAGTGAGGGAGTCTGGAAGTTTAAATTAAACGTGTTTCACAACTCTCTTTTGATGGTTTAGGAAATGAACATCCAGAGAGAGGAAGAGGTTTGGTCAGGACCACACAAGAAATCAGTGACTGGTCAAGAAATCAGTGACTGTCCATGTCTGTTTCCAGGACTTCCTATCCACACAGATCATAGCTTATAGGAGACATGTAGTTAGTTACCTGTGTACCCTGAAATTAGTCTTATGCACATAAATAGAACTTTACAAAAGTTAGCATAATTTCCTCCCTGTCCTGTGAACTGAGTGCAGATATCAGTTTTGTTGACATTGTAAAAACCCCCAAAGGTTAGAGGATAAACTCCATATGACAACTTTCTGGGGCGGGGGGGAGGAGGGTGTGGTAAGAAGAGGACAGTGGGGTGGGTTACTTGTCCTTAAATTTGCATTTTAAATCAGTGAGTTTTAAATTCTGGTCTGTGATGCAGGAGTCCCCATAAATTTGTTTACAGACTTGGGGATAGAGGGGAGTTAGCTTAAGATGAATCATAAAAGTTCCAGAAGAAAACACAAGACAAAAATCTTTGCAATCCGGGCTTAGCAGGGTTTTCTTAATAAGATCCAGAAAGCAATAGTTCTATTTTAATATAACTAAAATGAAAAACTTGTGCCTATCAAAAAACAGCATTAGAAAGTCAATCAGAAGGCACAGATGGAAGAAAATATTTGCAAAACACATATCTGATAAAAGAATTTATATCAAGAATGTATGGATAGTACATGAAACTCAATAAAAAAAGAACAAATCACTTAAAAGATAGATTAAATATAATACTTGAGGAGACACCTTATTAAAAGTTAAGTGTGTTCAATAAGCACAGGAAAAAATGCTCAACATCATTAATTATCAAAGAAATGCAAATTAAAACCATGAGATAGTACTATATGTGCACACACAACGGAATGGCCAAAATTAAAACACTGACAAAACCACATTTTAGTGATTATGTAAAGCAGCTCAAATTCTCACACATTATTGGAGAAAGTGCAAAAAGCTATAAAAAATTTTTGGAAAACAGCTTAGTAGTGTCTTATTTAACAACAAACAAAATCCTCCTTATAATCCAGCATTTCCCCTTCTAGATATTTACACAAGAGAAATGAAAATATATGTCCTCAAAAAACTTACACAAAAACATTTTGCTCTGCTTTACTTATGATGGCCAAAGACAGGGAGCAGCTTGGTTGTCCATGAAAAAGAGAAGCAATGAACAACTGAGATATATTCAAATGATAAAATACTACTCAGCAATAAGAAAGACTAAAAGTATAGGTCAAAAAAATTTTTTTAGTAGCTATTATTAATGGTGGAAACAGAACAGAATGAGACACAAAGAAAGGGAAATGAAAGAGAGAGAGTGTGTGTGTACGTGTGTGTGTTGTTTGGGGGTAATATGGAAAGAGGCCTGTGAGAACTTTCTGAGGTGAAGGGAAAGTTTCTCTTTTGATAAGGGCGGATGTATAAATTGTCACAACTCATGTTTGGCAATGTTAGGAATTGTGCATTTCATCATAGGTAAATCTTACCCTAAAAAAATTCATGAACAAATACCAAACTTTAATAAATGATATGTATAACTGAAATGTTTGATGAAAAATGCCAATGTCTGCAGCTTCTTTTAAAAGTTGTCAAAAAATAAGATGGATTGATGGATGGCTAGATATGTGATTAGGTCAATTGTAGCAAAATATTAACAATTTAGAGTGAGGTGCTGGGTTTATGTGTTTATTGTCAGTGTTTTTGTCTTTGCTCTATGTTTGAAAATTTTTATAGTAAACTATGGGGAATAGGGAGTGAATGTGTTGTTCAGTCATAATGTCTATTTACCCTCAGAGGAAGTGGAGTGAACTCTGCCAATGATGGAGGCGGTGCACCCTTAGTGGGAAGCAGGCTGTAGTAGCCTAGGGAAGAGTGAATGAATACTGGGTACAAACATTCATTTTCCAAGGGCTCTGATAGTCCCAGCCTTACCCTTTACCCCAGGCATTGTGTGGAAAATTCTGGGAAATGTTGGTAAACCTTTTGCATTGTAAGATGAGGAAGGGCCCAGCCTAATAACTTTTAACCTCCATAGAGCCAGAAAGAATTCTGGAATTACTCTTCCATTTTGTAAACCCCATCCTGCTCCTTGGAAGTTGTAAGATAGTGCAGAGATTCCTCAAGTCACAGAGCAGGAATCTCTTCCCAACCAGCTCAGAGAAAAGAAATCAGAGTTGAATATTCCCAGAACCCTTTCCGCATATACATGGGTTGGCATCAGAACTAGCCCTTGCTTTAGGGTAGGACCTGTGTCTAAGGAAACTCAGTTTAGAGTCATTTATCTAGAACTGCATTACTCTAACTTTACAGTTGTCTGTGATAAAGAATCCACCTGTGTTGCTG